CGACCTGCCCCCCCCACCCCACTCCAACCCCCCCCCTCCTCCCTGATGCCTTCCCCCAGGACTCCGCCCCACCCAACCACCCCTTCTCCCTGTCCCCTGACTGCCCCTGGAACTCCTGACCCAACTGCCCACTGCCGCCCCAGCCAACCCACCCTCTCCATCCTGACTCCCCCCGAGACCCCTACCTCCATTCAACCCCCTGTTTCCTGCCTTCTGACTGCCCCAACCCCTATCCGCACCCCCACCTCCGACCACCACCCTGAACTCCCCTGCCCTCTATCCAACCCCCCTCCTCACCGCGCTGCCTGGAGCACCTGTGGCTAGCGGCCACCCAGCTGGAGACAGCCACGCACCGCACAGCACAGAGCACCGGGTCAGGCCCCGGCTCTGCAGCTGCGCTGCCCCAGGAACTCGCAGCCCCGCCGCCCAGAGCATTGCGTCAGCGGCGGGACGAGCTGAGGCTGCGCAGGAGGGGGAACAGTAGGGGAGGGGCTGGGGGCTAGCCTCCCAGGCCAGGAGCTCAGGGGCCGGGCAAGAGGGTCCCGCCGGCCGGATGTGGCTTGCGGGCCATAGTTTGCCCACCTCTGTTTTTAGAGTAGGGTTAAACCGATTGTATAAGAAATCATATACCAAGTCACAACACTTTTTTTAAAATATAAAGGAAATCCTAATTTTTTCCCTACACAGAGCTGGGAGTGTCTCTTTATAACTCGACTTCTATCTAGTTCAGAATGGCAATGGAATCTGGGACTTGAAGAAAGAGCCCTAATCTGCATTTAATTAACTACAAAACTTTGCTCAAACGCTTGTGATGCAGGAAGGGAGCGCATCTGGACTAAAATATGTAATTTACACTAATAGGGGTATCCAGATATGATGCTAGCCCCTCCACCTTTGGAAACTGGCTGGTCCAGCAGCTGTGACGTGTTCTAAGGATGTACATGAATGCTGCTGGGGCCAGGTAACCCTGCTCCAAGACATAGTGGCTTTACAGATGGGTTGCAAACTAGTTAGATTCAGTCTCATCTTATCTTTTCACAGAGTAGAAGGCACTGGAGAGTTCAGTGAATTGGGACTGGAACTGTGCTATGGAACTTTCCATCCTTCGCTGGTTATTTGGTGGTTTACAAGAAATGAATTTGGGTTCTCAATGTAGTTCCCAATGGACCAACATCCACTCAAGCCACCTCCATTGCACATGGCACTCACTGGCCTCCTTGTCATCAGACTCCAGAGAGGCCAAGGAAGGAACGGGCCATGAAGAGCAATCTTCCCTCTCACCTCTAGAGATTATCATTCCATGTTGGGGTGGAGCATGGTACTAAGGGGGTGTGGGGAAATCTGCCGCTGCCTGTGCTGGTCTGGATCTGGGGATACAGGACAGAGTGCAGTCGCCAGGGCTCTTAATACAGCACCTGCACAAAGCTAAATTTTAAGTTAAAACATTCCTAAAGGAGGGTGTGTGTCTGAGGCAGGCGTGTGTGTCTGCAGGGAGGGAGGAAGGAAAGAGAGTAGTGCAAGCCTGAGATGGTGCCAGAAGCATGTTAAGGGAATTAATGACTAAAATTGGTCAACCAAACTGGTGCAACCAAAGGCTGCATTCGGCAGCGTACCAAGAACCCAATGTCTGAAATCGATTGGTGGAGCACTGGGCATTTTATAGCCACTGTCCCATTCAATACAGAAATGAAGTCCAGTCAGACCATGGATGGCAGCATGGAATGCTCTATCCTGATCTAAGCAGCGGGGCCGGCCCGCTGTTCCCCACATGCCACTAGACAGTTCAGAACAGCTGAAGTGTGCTCCGTAAATGTCCCTAGAATTAGGCATCTTGAGAGGTGTGTGTGCAGGAGTGGGGAGCTAAGAGTCCCCTGTTGGTCCAGCAGAGCCCAGATCTGTTGACCTTTGAGGCATGGTATAAACACATTTCTCTTGGCTGGTGCTCAGAGATTTAGCTTTAGTGGACATGTGAGCCTATTGCTCTGTTGTTAACTAATTCTCTGTGCTTGCTTTAGTGTCTGTACAGCAGCCACAGACAGGTTAAAACAATGAAAAATAAACAAGCACCAGGCCCTGGGGTTTCTGCAGGTTGCCCTTTCGTACTGAAGAGGATGACAGCTGTGGACTACCTTTTTTGGAATTCCACAGGCCACAGACCACAGTGCAGCGGTCACGCCTATAGAAACATTTGCACTTCACAACTAACCCGTTACCACATCCAACACTGGGCAGAAGATGGATGTCATTGTATATTATGACTTGTCAAGCACATGGAGTTCAGCTTTCTAGACAGAGCCATAAAGATACCAAGAGAAATATTCTCCTCCTTAATGTATTATTTTTGGGTTTTGCCACAGCCAGCAGTCTGTCTCTCAGAGCAGTAAGGTGGCAGGAGGTGGGGGAAGCTCACCTTTGATGATGCTGAGGATTTCTTGGACTTTATGTGGCTCGTTGCGGTCTGGCCTGCAGCTCGGTGTGATCTCCAGCACGTAATCAGGACCATACTTTGTGAAAAACTGCAGGGAAAGGGAAATCAGCAAAGTCGTCGCTGTGCAGGGCAGAAATGGTTTGGGTGAGGTTCAAGGAGAACTGACCTGAAAACAATGCAGTAGGGGGAAGCATCTGCAGTGGGACTAGGGGTAATGGAGACAGACTCCCATCCTTGTTGTTCACTAGGTTCCACATGTGCTCCTGATATCCCAAATAGAGAGCTTTTGTCTCTCTCTAGTTTAGTGGCTATTTCCCCATCTCTATTAAGGAGACTGAGTTTCTTCCCAGCTCTACCACTGATCCACTCATCTGTAAAATACCTCTTCCCCTCCAAGGTGGTTCACATAGCTTAATTAATTAATGCATGTGTTATGGAGCTTCTACCTGCTTGAACTCTACAACTGCTCTAACAATTCAAGTTCCATATATGAGCCATATTTTACAGCACTGCAGCTGTGAATACAATTTTATTGGTCATCCCCTTGGCACATCCGGCAAATCCATTTAGCATTGTTATATCACACACGGGTACCTACACACCTGTCTGTATTAAATGAGAACACACAATGAAATCAACACTCCGGCTGGATTTCCTTGTGCTAGAGTGGTGACACTTTGAACCCACCCCCCTGCACAGCTCTAGCACAAAACATTATTTCACTGGCATGATCCCTGCACACCGGGAAGGTGCTACATCAGATAGGAAATAGAGTAAGGAACAGGGCTATGCACAAGGCTGTTAACATACCTCTCCATACAATGTGCTACAGATGTGCTACTAAGACCTGGTCTACACTACGAGTTTAGGTCGACTTTAGCAGCATTAAATCAAATTAAGCCTGGACACGTTCACACGACGAAGCCCTTTCTTTCGACTTAAAGGGCCCTTTAAACCGGTTTCTTTACTCCACCTCCGACGAGGTGATTAGCGATAAAATCGGCCTTAGCAGGTCGGAATTGGGGTACTGTGGACGGAATTCGACATTATTGGCCTCCGGGAGCTATCCCGCAGTGCTTCATTGTGACCGCTCTGGACAGCACTCTAAACTCAGATGCACTGACCAGGTAGACAGGAAAAGCCCCGCGAACGTTTGAATTTCATTTCCTGTTTGCCCAGCGTGGAGAGCACAGGTGACCACGCATAGCTCATCAGCACAGGTAACCGTAATGGAGTCCCAGGATCGCAAAAGAGCTCCATCATGGACCGAAGGGGAGGTACAGGATCTGGGGAGATGAATCAGTGCTAGCTGAACTCCGTAGCAGTAAACGAAATGGCAAAATATTAGAAAAGGTCTCCAAGGCCATGAAGGACAGAGGCCATAGCAGGGATGCACAGCAGTGCCGCATGAAAATTAAGGAGCTAAGGCAAGCCTACCACAAAGCCAGAGAGGCAAACGGAAGGTCCGGGGCTGAGCCGCAAACATGCCGCTTCTACGCGGAGCTGCATGCCATGTTAGGGGGTGCAGCCACCACTACCCCAACTGTGTGCTATGACTCCGTCACTGGAGAAACACACAGGGAAGCGGGTCCGGGGTACGAGGAAGATGAGGATGAAGATAATGTAGATAGCTCACAGCAGCAAGGAAGCAGAGAAACCGGTTTCCCCAACAGCCAGGATATGTTTATCTCCCTGGACCAGGAGCCAGTAACCCCTGAACTCACCCAAGGCGTGCTCCCAGACCCTGAGGGCACACAAGGGACCTCTGGTGAGTGTACCTTTGTAAATATTACACATGGTTTAAAAGCAAGCGTGTTTAATGATTAATTTGCCCTGGCACTCGCGGCCAGTACAGCTACTGGAAAAGTCTGTTAACGTGTATGGGGATGGAGCGGAAATCCTCCAGGGACATCTCCAGAAAGCTCTCCTTCATGTACTCCCAAAGCCTTTGCAAAAGGTTTCTGGGGAGGACTGCCTTATACCGTCCGCCATGGTAGGATACTTTACCACGCCAGGCCAGTAGCATGTAGTCTGGAATCATTGCATAAGAAAGCATGGCAGTGTATGGTCCTGGTGTTTGCTAGCATGCAGACAACATCCATTCCTTATCTCTCTTTGTTATCCTCAGGAGAGTGATATCATTCACGGTCACCTGGTTGAAATGGGGTGATTTTATTAAGGGGACATTCAGAGGTGCCCGTTCCTGCTCGGCTGAACAGAAATGTTCCCCGCTGTTAGCCACGCAGTGGGGGGGAGGGGTGAAGTGATCATCCCCGATAATTGGGTGTGTGTGGGGGGGAGGGTTAGTTGGGTTTGTGCTGCATGTTAACCCGGAAACCGCAGCCCCTCCTTTTACATTGCAAACCCATTTTAAATGGCCAACCCAATGGGTGCTTGGTATGGGAAATGAGGGCGCTACTGTTTGAAACCATTCCCACATGTTAAGAAGGTTAAAAAAGCCAAAAGACTGTGGCTTACCATGGCTGCCTGCAAGCCGAAATCTGTTGTCTGGCAATGCGTGAGTGATCTCTCACACCAAACCGGCAGGCCCTCAATATAAGAGGAAAAATGCGACCTTGTAACGAAAGCACATGTGCTGTGTAATGTGAACAGCAAAATTTAACGTAAAAGAGTGTACCCATTGTTCTCTAAAATGTGTCTTTTTTAACCACCTCTGCCTTCTCCTCCACCAGCTGCAAATGTTTCTCCTTCACAGAGGTTAGTGAAGTTTAGAAGGAGAAAACGGCGGACTTGGGATGATATGTTCACGGAGCTCCAGATGTCCTCCCATGCTGACAGAGCACAGTAGAATGCGTGGAGGCAGTCAATGTCAGACTACAGAAAAGCACAGTATGAACGAGAGGAGAGGTGGGGGGCTGAATCGCGGGATGAACAGAGCAAGTGGCGGGCTGAAGATGATAGGTGGTGCCAGCTTGCAGACAGAAGGCAAGAGTCGATGCTCCGGCTGCTGGAGCATCAAACTGATATGCTCCAGCGTATGGTTGAGCTGCAGGAAAGGCAGCAGGAGCAGAGACCGCCGCTACAGCCTCTGTGTAACCAACAGCCCTCCTCCCCAAGTTCCATAGCCTGCTCACCCAGACGCCCAAGAACACGGTG